TTCTCGCTGGATCTAGGGCTCGACTTTTCCTGATTTCCAATCATAATCAACTTCCTGCGACTGAGATGGCTGTTTCTCCTATGTCCATGATTCATGCCTGCCGTTCTGATGAAATTGGCTCAACAAAACAGACCAAAATGAAACTAAGTCTGCAATATTTGTGTGGTTGAACTGGAATTCTTTGGCAGAAAAATATTGCGAGAATTTATTAATGCATCGCAATAAATAAAGCAACAAAAGCTGCTAACGAATATAGAGGGCTTATCAAAGACAGTGTCGCTTGCATCAGCATCTCCATTTCCGCGCTAGACTCTGCGTCTCTTCCGCGAATATGCTCTTTAATCACTTCCAGTCGATTGAGGCTCCGCCTTTCCCAGTCTCGACCTGGGAATGTGATCAGAGAGCATGCGCGGAAGAGATGCAGAATCCAGCGCGGGAATGGAGATGCCAATGCAAGCGACACTGCGTTTGATGAGCCCTGTATCAAAGATTTTATGATATATCACATATTCATGTCGTGCAGTCGTCAACATCCTCGTCGGATTCGAATACAACTGCTCTTCTCATAGGCACCGTGTCGGCGAATAAGCACCTTAGCCTCCTTACCTGTAGTCCGAAGCAGCTTTTTCAGCTTTCCAGATTTGTAGCGCTCCACCTACTCCATAGTTTCATCGTTAAGCATGATCCTGAATTGGTGAGGTTCGCTTCCATACTATTGATAATATATTTACACTAAAACGCGGGTGCTATGCATATACGGGGTGTCCCAAAAGTAGGTATACACTGTTTGATCGCCAATAGCTCTCTTTCCAAGAAGTCTTTCGTCTGCCTTTAGGGACCGTTTTGTAGGGCTGGGTCCAACTTAGGGCCGCATGCATTAACAACACCCCTGCTGGGGAGGGGATTGCAGCTTGAAAAAAAACTCCATATCTAGAAGTCTTAGATATCTGGATTTCACGCTGTTCACCTTTCACTAAATTCCCACCATCCTCCACTAAGGACATATTGAACAGAAGCGAGAAGCTGTACAAGCCGCATTTTCCAGCTCTTTGTATGATCCCCTGGTAATCCCCGGGGGACAATCGTCTATTCTTTAAAGTCATTGTTCCCTCTTCCAAGTCAATGAAAATGAAAACATTTCAAAGTTGTATTGCTTAACTAACCCAATAGTGCTAAGCTGTTGCTGATAAGAACAAATGATGTTTTGGAGTCATGAAATTTTCGATGAACCACAGGTCGAAAGCTAGGGTTTGTCGGAAACGATATTTCAGAAACTCAATTGTTTTTATCAGCAATATGCTTAGCACTGTTGAGGTAGACAATCAGTGCAACTTCGGAATGTTTTCATCAACTTTGAAGAAAGAGAAATGACTTTAAAGAACGAACGATCTTCCCCGGGGATCATCATTCATACAAAAAGCTGAAAAATGCAGCTTGTACAGCTTCTTGCCCCTCTTCAATATCACAGTGGAGGATGGTAGGAATACTTACTGAAACGTAGGCATCGTGCCAGTCCAGTTTCAATCCAGTTTTATGTTGCATATGAAAGTTCAAAAACTCCTCTCCTTCTATAAATTATAATGTGAAGATTTTTCGAATTTTTTTTCTTCCTCTTAGAAACCTTAAGTAGTCAACATCCGGCGTCATTACTCCATCACTACAGTAGGAGATACCTTAGCACTTGTGTCGCAACCATAGCGACCAAGATGGCAGTCAAATAAAATGAAACCGCCATTGTTCGCCCTCTCATAAACGAACAAGCAATGATTATGGTTCTATTCTTGAGAAACGTTATGATAATACTTTCAATTAATGTTTTATTATGGAAGCCTTCATAGGGCGTGTTATACCGCATATAAAAGTCCAAAAACCTTTTTTCTTGTATAAATTATATATGGGAAAAAGTTCCGAATTTTCCATATTCTGTGCTTTATTGAGGGGATCTTGATGTTGAGACGTTACCTGAGGACTGTAGAATTTCCCACGCTTTCTCTTTTTGCACCCAGTCATGTTAATGAGGTCGAAATCTTGAAATCAGGACTTCGCTTCAAATGTTCTCAATTTCAATGGTTGTAAACTGTGCTTCCTGTTTACTGGAAATAATGATTATCAAAGCAAGTGCTGTTCGCAAAGATAGGAATATCATGTAACTTCGCATCATATTCTAAATATGATGCGCATTATCTAATGTAGCAGATACAATTTGAACTGCTATCTTGCAAATTTTCATGTAGAGTGCATATTTTTTTTATAATTTGAGATGCTACATCGAGAACAAATTGAACAAAATGGTGGCCATTTTGATGTCGCTCCTTAGCACGAAACGACCATTTTGTTTCTTTTTTAAGCGATTCATTTGAAAGAGTTTACAACTACAAATCAGCGAGGTAATTTTGCAGCGAGAACATATCTGTGATCAGCGCCAATCTGTATTGATTGAATGCGTTACACTTGAAAAAGCTGACGGATCAGGTATTTTTCTACACGTAAGCTCCCAAATCAATCTAGTCACTCCATTTGTAAACAAAAATACGAATAAAATAAATCATACATGTCATGACAAGACAAGACAGTATGCAAAGATAACAAAGAAGGTTAAGTAGACAATGTAAAACTTCTCATAGTTGGTTTTCGACTGATTCAAGTTTGAGGCCAAAACAAAATAGCAACTTTTATAGCTTGATGATGAGAGCAAGCCAATCGGTTCGTCATTGTAAAAAATACTGTTTAGAGCACTGCATAACTCTTATAGCTTGATGTATTTCAATGCTTGAGCAGAAGTCAGCGCAAATGTGATAACACTTTACAGACAGACGGCCGTAATACGGAGACACTTCAAATTTCGGGCTTCTTAGGTCAAATTTATATTTTTGCCAGACATTGTAAAAAGGGATTCTTTTCACCATGTTTATTGCAAATCACTTTGTGGAACAACCAACACGTCCACGTATGTGACTTACCACATGATTATCGAAATTTGATCATACGTTAGTTTGTCCAATGATAGATCAACGGAATCATCTACAGTCCGCTTTGTAGCACAAACCAGCATGCATGATAGACATACTCGTGTATTGCTGGTTGCCGCAAAGCTATAAGAAATGACATTTTACCAGGAAAGCAAGAGAATTGTTTGTTTTGAATATTCAAATAAAATTTGTGATATAAAAGAAATCAAATTGTGCTAAAACTGCAGACTTCTGAAACTTCGCAGCTTGTGAAGAAGAGCCCTTTGCTTTTTTGAACATGAAGCTGTTCTCAATTTATTCTCTGCTGTTTTTCCTCTCTCTAGCAAGTGGCAAAATCGAAATCGACCCATTCAAACCGATCCTATGTATGAAGACTAAAGGTCTGAAGTACTGCCGGGCTTGGTGTCGTTTATGGGTAAGGAATCATCATATTTACTCTTAGCACATTCATCAGGAAAACTAAGCGGCATGCCATCAAAAGATGTGATACTGGAGGTAGTGACTTCTCAAACGATGAGCAAACCCGTTACGTAGGTGCAAGTGTCTGCGGAAAGGTGCGAATTTCGCACCCCACCTCTACGTTACTGTGTAGAGCTGAGAAAGAACGATGAATGCTTAGCATAAAAAAAAACAAAACTACTATGTCGTAAACTCCCTCCACCGTTGCCATTTGCGAGAATTAGAACGATTTGATTAGTTGCCTCGATTTACATCAAAAACAGACACTTATTTTTGTTTCGATTCGATCACCCAAGCATCCATTCAACAAACCAAGTCTTGGTCGCAATCCTTTACGCTGTATTTTTCAATTTCTGTTCTAGCGACCTGAAAAATTCAGTGTGGGTTTGCAGATCCTTGCATCACTGCAATAGCCCAACCTATTGAGAGACATACCACAAGTTAATCTTGACCCTTGAGAAGTGCTCGAGATCCAAATTAGTTTATCATTTTCGTAAGGATAGACCGAATTCTGCATATTTGCGCCATCTATGAAAATCGATATCTTCTATAGTGTTAGTATCCTGGTATATCGCCAAAAGGTCAGATGATCTGGCAGCATTCGTGTATCATCGGCTCCCAGATTCGTGTGAAGGTGGAGTCTTGCCAACTCACCGCGTGGCGGTTTTTGCTAGCGAGAGATTACGAAAAGCAATGCTGTGACGTGGAGGTTTAGCAAGTTTACATGTGTTATCAGGCAAAGTCTGCAATACACCTCCACACGAATCTGGGAGCCGATCATAGCTTCCCTACCCCCTCTCCTTGGCGTAGTAGAGAATTTGCACCATCACGTGACAGATGAGAGGTGCGAATTGGGTATGAGATAGATGTGAGCACTAGATGGGAGGACCCCGATCGTATGATCCCCCTCATACTGGTAATGGTGAAACCAAAGATTTTTGGAGTTACTGCGGTGATTTTTGTAATTCTTTCTCTTTTCGTGCATTTTAAACGTTCTCCACCTTTCCACACTAAGTTCTCACTATTTCCCCCTTCTTCTGAAGTAGGGCAGAAGCAAGATTCTGTTCGAGTTTAGCCACCATAACTGAAATGCCAAGAAAGTTCTTCATGCTTTCACAAATGCAAGACACGTCATAAGCAACTTGTCCTTGCAAATGTTACAAGTAACTTGCTCCACGTAATGTTTTAGGACAGGCCAGATGCACAGTGTTTAACGACATCAGATGGGACATTCAAGAACGTGTGCGTATGCATGGGATACAATGGACAATTATGAAGTTGGCGTGCAAAGCACACTTACGAGCGTCTTCTATTCTGTGCATGAATTTCTCATTTTTAGCACAATAAAGCAGTTACAAATTTGTTAAATTAAAATTTTTTCATTATGACAATTTCGTAGAATTGAAACGGAAACTGTTTGGGAAGATTCTCTGGAGTGCAAATTCGAGCCACGGTTTCACTGCTTTATAATCCAGAATAATCTTTGAAAAAAGCAAGCAAAAACCTCATCGGCAAGAAAAACAGAACTACGCTGCAACCAGCGCCCAGCATAAGGTGGCATATGGAAAATTACGATATAACTTTTGTAGCGTTTGTAGAAGCTCTAAGATTATGCAGCGGAAAAAAAGTGAATCGAAGTGAAGAAAAGACAAGAATAAACTAAACATCAAAAAAGAAATGCGGATAAAGGTTTTTTTTTACGCCATCAAGGACCGTAAGAAAGCGAGATTTTGAGAAAAGTCTACAGCTAAGAGCTAACAACCGTTTTAATCCTCACAATAAGAATCAAAGGCTAGAAGTACAGTAGTCACATAAAGTCATGGTTACATCCTGCATAGGTAGAAGATTTTGCCGTTTTTTCTTCTTTGTCGTTTGTAAGGGAAATCTAGCAGAAATTAGCAAAACTTTCGACAGATCGAAGGCTGATCCCGTCGCCATTGGAAGGATGTGAGAATGAAATCGTGTGCGCCCTAGAGAGATTCCCATAGGTACCACGTCATCTCGCTGCCTTTCGCACTTTTGAACGTGTTAACCTCGGGCATTTCCGTTGAAATCTCAGGAGAAACGTGTCAAAAAGAGCGAAAGACAACGTCGCACCACGTACGCACGCTGGTTCACATGGGAACCTCTCTGGGGTGCAGACGGTAAATACTCCACTGAAGTTTGTCATCAGTGTTGCGTAGACACTCCTGCCTGGAAACAACAGTTTGAAACTAGTCTGTTCTTAGAAATCCAGTAAATCGCGCAAAGATCTAAGGCAACTTTGGTAATGCACCAGTGGCGTACCCAGGATTTCGGCTCGGGGGGGGGGGGGCGCGACAAAAATTTTTTTCTAATGAAGGTGCGTGGCGTTAGCCACGCACTTCGAAAAATTTTTTGGGGTGCTTTCCGAAATTTTTGCGGGTCCCCGACCCCCAAAATCTGGAAAAGGGGGGCGTGGCGTCAGCCACGCCCCCGAAAAAAAATTTTTATGAAGCTAAAATGAATTTTTTAAAAATTTTAAAAATTATTTTAATTATTTACAAGTGCATACAAGTCATTTGCACAGTTTTATAACCCATATAAGCAACTTTCAAAATATCATTCTCAATATTTTCAAGAATCGTCAGGAGGCGTGCAAGTGGTACCCGGGCGGCCGACTGCTGCCCAGCCACTGCCAGACCAATGCCGCTGCAGATGGTACAGTAATTATGCTCGTCGTCTAGAACTCTTGCCGAGATGTTTACTCGCACCTCGTTGCTCTGACGTGCGAGATCAGCCTCAGGAAAGTGTGATATCCTCGATATCTATATCATTTTGAACAGCAGAAAACTCATGTCTTTGATAAACATGCAAAGAAACAAAGGTAAGCAGAGGAAAGTATTTCAAAGAAAAATGATCACAAAATCAAATCACTTCAAAAATTCAAAGGAAGCAGAAGCTGAAAAATTTAGAAATTCTTGAACTTCTGGAGATTTTTCTCTCGCTTTTTACGTTGAAGAACAGACGAGAACAATTGCAGGAAAATGTGATGGATATAACGGTAAGAAAACTCCGTCAAAGTGATTATTTCAAACATAGTGATGTTAAGCGAGCTAAATAATGCAAAGTAGGTCAATCAAATTGAGTAGGCCAATGATAGCGTAATATCCTCGATATCTATATCATTTTGAACAGCAGAGGAAAACCATGTTTCATTGAGAACCGCAGTCGAATACAAAACTACACCGGAATGTTTTAAAAAATTCACAAACAACTACAAAAATGAACGAATAGGAAAAAATCAAACAGTTTTTTTCTGTTACAAATTGTACAATGAATATCCACTGACGCTGTATTCTAAGGATCCTTGATTTTCCAACTGAGAATACTGAGAAATTGTATCCACTTTTCCATGAACACTTCAGGATTCAAAGTACGGTTTTGTTGAAGGGTTATCAGAGGTGATTCTTTCAATCTTGAACTTTTTACTTTGCAACAAATTCTGAATTTTGAATTTTTTCATTATTATTTTTTTATTTTCTCGGAATCCCTGGAAAAGTGAACTGAAGTGCTTAAAATATTACATGTTTCTTGGTAATCCACGTTCCCTTTTATATCGGCATATGTGACATATTTTCATCTTTTATCATTGACCTGTTCAATTTGATTGACATACTTTGCCTTATTTAGCTCGCTCAACATCACTATTATGAAATGATCATTTTGACAGTTTTCCCATTACATCCATGATATTTTCCTGTAATTGTTCTCGTCCGTTCTTGGACTTAAAAGCCAGAAAAAAACCCCGAAATTTGAGAATTTTCTAAACTTTTCAGCTTCTGCTTCCTTTGAGTTTTTGAAGTGATTTGATTTTGTGATCATCTTCCTTAAGAAAAACCCTCCTCTGCTTACCTTTGTTTATTTGCATGTTTTTCAAAAAACATGAATTTGCCGTTTAAAATGATATGGATATCGAGGATAACACGCTTTCCTGAGGTTTATATCGCACGTAAGAGCAAAGAGGTGCGAGAAAACCTCTCGGCAAGAGTTTTAAACGACGAGCGTAATTATTGTACCATCTGCAGCGGCTTTGCCAGCAGCTCTGGCAGCTGGCTGCGGCAGCAGTCGGCTGGCTGGGTACCACTTGCTACGCACCCCCTTCCGTCCTGTAAAACAGACAAATAAGTGTGTCATCAAAAATCTCCATTGAATTTGAGCCATTGAGAATGCAACGTACGTAGTACGGAAATCGTTATTCGTGATGTTGTCCAGTACTATTTATCACATCTTGATAAAAAACCAAACCGAGGTAATCTTAACACTCAACACCCATATTCACAAATACCTTGGGATGAACTTTGTAGCTATTTTCAAGCTCGAACTAGAGGTGTGACACACAAACGCTTGAGATGACCCTCTCCCCCCCCCCGTATTACCGTTTACCTACCGTAGGCATGACATAAATGCTCTACCAAACAATTTAGTAATTATTCTATTTATCATGTCAAATAACCACGTGGCCTTTTAGCGAATTCTGAGGGCTTTAGTGGAGATGGTTTTAGTGGCTTTAGTGGAGCAAAAGAGGTATCAACAATCAGAAACTAGGGGCATTTTTTGAGACTGTTTAATAAGAATAGGGTATGGTTCCTGTTGCAAGGAAAATGATAGGTACTTCTTATTCTCAATTGGAATACTTTAGCACTCCTCTTGTAAATAAATAGACATACCAAAAACGGGCAAAATATGCCGGTTGCCGGTTTATGCATGCAATACGATCAAGTTTGATTTTCAAGGAAAAAAATAGTTTTTTCAAACCCTCCGTACTTTTGCGAGAGAGCGCCTTGTCTTTGGAAGTGCTGATGTACGGTATACTAGGATTTGAGATGCTGGCGTTAACGCATATTTTCTTTCCATTTTATTGTATTCGAACGTGTAATCAAGCTCTTTCACTTCATTTCTTAATTCGTAGTATCCAAACTCCGACTTATACCAGAAAATTGAAGATCTTCATTGTGATTTTCGAGCAGAAACCCAATGTAATATTTTCAGAGTAAAGCCCAAATATGTCAGTCTGACGTATAAATTTGTTTAGTGATGATTCTGGCAAGAAATCATTGATGCCAGAGAAAATATTTTTGTAATTCCTTCATTCCCATCGTTTTATTTCCAAAGACATCCTTGCGCTTGTAGCCGCATAGACTTTTAGCTAGAACATGGAAGTCATTTTGAGATTTAGAGCGATCAAGTCCTCAAAGTGCTAGAGACGGATATCCTTCGCGTTGCGGGTGCGTTGCCCTGCATTGCCCGTGCTCGTGCAATCCATTGCCACAGATTCAGGAGGTTGGGTCGCAGGGTCAAAGTGGCCGGTCACTACAAGATGCATATCGCCACGAAGAGCTTGAAGCCTGACAAATTTACCTTCCATGCAAAACGCTTCTGGCAAGGAAGTTTTGGACTTTTATTTGCGGGCAACTTGCACGGCTAAGAGTAGCCGGAATTACCAATACCTACTCAGATAATCGCCGGGGGCAGGCGATCGGCAAACTCGCGCTTTTCTGCAAGCGATCAACAGAATTTTGGGGGGGGGGTGGCCAAACCTTTAGCTGACGGCACTTCCTTTACGGTCGCATATTCGTCAGCGGGCAGCAATACAGCATTTTTTGCAAGCGCTCGGTAAACAATTTCTTTCAGCGAGCGCTCGAACTCTTTTTAAGCAGTTTCGGGCATACGCCGAGCACAGGTAAGACTCTGTATGGCAGAGGTTCACCGTTGGTTTAATTGCTCAAGTTTAAGGTACTTTCTCTCAGCGGAAACTACCGGGGGGCTGTGCGGTCCTCCATAAAGGACCGTGCGGCTCCCAAAAATTTCGCCTATTCTCGCGGAAGGTCCGCGAGAATACGGCCACTGCGCCGCAGCTAATCTAGAAGGAAACCACGATTGTTCTCCAAGCATTCGTCTAAAATTTCGCTCAAATTCTTCCAAATATCTGCAAGCGGACCTCAAGAAATCAACGAACTATTTTTCCGGTGCCCGCCTGCCCATAAATCGCATGGCCGCCAGCCCCGGCGATTATCTGAGTAAACATTTTGGATTCAAACCTACTTAGAACAGCTTATCCATCTTGACGTGATAATAATCCTTTTTAAATGTTTCCAGCGCAGGAAGCATTCTGAACGATTTCCATTATTTGTAGTCACTCAAAGAGCCATGCAAATGTCGATGATATAATTGCCCATGACTTGCTTTTCAAAGGCGTTCTGATATGGAAGACAATTCAAAATCAGGGCCCGTAGTAATCCACCCCGCATGTTGGCATAAGACACGACGGCGAGCTCGCGAACCTCACGACATGCTCACAACTCGACATGGCCGTGAGCTGCGATTTCCTGATACACAAGCCAATGTAAGATTGACCGCAAAACCATTGCTTCTTGATGGGATAGAACTCTGCTCTGGCCAATGAGAGTCAGCACGTTAGACATTGAACTACAAGTGTACGTTACGAATCGTTTCAAGATACTCAAAAACCTTCCAGTCACCCTCCTTCTAACATGTTTATCCCGCATGCATGTACAATGTCAGGCTAGCCAGAACCGACAGGTATCATAGATAGATACAAGCATGTTATAGGCCGCAAATTGATGGCAAACTCCTGGGCCCGTAGTAATCTACCCTACCTGGTGGCATCATAGATGCCGGCAAGTTGGCACACATCGCGGAAAGATGCCAACTCCGCCGGCAGCTCCTAAACTGCCAACAAGCAGAGCACCGCAAAACATAGGAATCGCGCGCCCTCGAACTTGCATGCATTGACCTCGAACGCCGGCGCACTAACCGATCGACCACACGCACGCTGTGTGTGGTGGCGAAGCGAACGATAAAGGAATGCTTGGATTTGCCGGGCCGCCGCAAAACATCCGCACCACGCGCGTTCGAACTTGTATGCACCAACTTGGAACTCCGGCGCACTAACCGGTCGACTACACGCACATGCTTTGCACATAGAAAACACCGCTGGGATATGTTTCAATTTCCGAATCCTGTGCTTGAACATGATCGATGCCACTAGTGGTATACTTTGGACTTCGAAGTATCCTGTCCAAGACGGCCTCGCTCTTTTTCTCTTGTTTTCATTGCTTGTTTCATTAGATTCTTGTATAAATTCTTCTCTTCTTCAGATTCGTCTCTTCAAAACACTATCGCAAACTGCATTAACATGGCCTCAGAGTAATAACAAAGATAAGGTTAATTAAGGTTTAATTACCCAACTTTTTCAAAAAGTTGGGTAATTAAACCGGCCGCCGAGCCGGGAAGACACCATTTTTGGACTCTGGCATGGTCCCTGCCGCCAGGGACGTCCACAAGAAGAGCATCTACAGCCCGAACCCAGCACCTTCTACAGTGTGTATCTCCGTGCTCAATCGCTCGATTGAGTTCGGTCAAAGTGCATTGAGGTTCGTTGATGGCCGACTATCCTTTTTTGCTGACCTCGCCCTCCTCCCTCCCGAAATCCTCCTCCCTCCTCAGTGGTGGCGACCACCGGTCTCTAGTGCCAGACGTTGTATTCACGTCTGCTGGAGGTGGAGATTTAGTACCTAGAATCAAACATATCAACAATCTTTAACTGGAGAAGCCTAGCAAAGCAAGCCTAGTAAATGGATACGTCTGTTGCATAAATCCTCTGCTCATGAAAACTCATGTACTAGCAATCACAATATGAATAAAATCAAAAGCGGCAACATATAGAATAAGTTCCCAATACAAAAACAAAAAAGGAAAAACTCAAAAACAAACCCGCTCCAAAGCCTCCCAGATGTCAAATTCTCCTCCAGAGAGAATCGAATAAGAGCAATCCGTGGATGTCTTCATATAATGCCTTATCAACTATAATGTGATATCTTTGATCACTTCATCTAATCATGAACATCGTTTAAGATAACACTAATTTCACCGTTGAACCTTTGAATAGCCACGAAACGTCAAATATGGCAATGTTTTCAGAGTGAATCACAAAAGAGATATTTGAAGAAGTAAACTCACGGCTCTCAAACGAATATTTATCGTAGTCGCGACCCCGAGACACCTTCGAAAACGTCAAGATCATGATGCGTGAATCTGACCAATGTATGACTGCCTCCTGAATCAACGAAAAACTTTTCAGAGAGACAACAATCTCAGAGAGTCTTAAAAAGACAACAATCATTTGCATGAAGCTCAAAAATTTTACAAAACTTTGATAAAATACGAGAAATGAACAAAAAAATGCCTACCTCTCGATAAGGCGACACTGACTGCTTGAAGTTTCAAATCACAGAAACTTTATGTGCGGCGCCTGTTGCTAGGCCCAAAGTAGAAGATGATGGCAATGGTGAATTCGGAATAGATAGTGCGGCTTTTTCCTGAAATCAAAGCAGCAATGGTACCCGTTTAATTTTTCTTTCTCAGTATAGCTCTCCAACTGGTTGCAAGAGAAATCATCTCTAATTCCTAACTTTACGGGCGACATAGAAGTTCAAGAAGGCTGTTTGAAGATATCAACTGCTTCTTTCCAAAACTTTTGAAATCGGAGAAGTAAAATTTTAGAAATAACCATTCCGACTAACAAGTATAACTTAATCGTTTCATTTCATTGCAAAAGCGTTTCTGGGAGTGTAAATTATCGATATAAAGGCTCAAAAGCGCTTCTGAGCGCTCAAAAGCGCTCACGCTCCTTGGAGCTCTAAAGCGCTCAAAGGAGCTCTAAAGTGCTCAAAGGTGGTCAAGAGCGCTCAGAACCGCTCTAAAAAGCTCAAAAGCGAGTGAAGTCTGGCCGGGGCAAAAAACATCAAGACAGAAACCCTTAAGGAGGAATGATTCGAAAAACCTCTGACGAATTATAGCAATTTTGCAAGGAATGAAATACTACATCGAAATGAATGAAGTTTTGCTCCAAATTTCGTACATACCTCAACAATAACATTATGCGAGATTTTCAATCTCTAAAATCAAAAGAAAGTGACAGAATTCACAGAAAAAACACACAAGAAGAGATTTTGCACCAATCATCACCTCTTCATTGCGACTACTTTCCAAGAAACGATTTGCATTCGATTGTAAGAAACGTAATGCAGCATCAAATTCATAAACGGCAAAGAGAATGACTCCAGTGTTCCTTTAAATTGAAGATATGTTGCAAACATAAGTCGTAATAGAAAAAAGCAGACTTACATCACTTTGAGCCATCAACGGATGATTTTCTCCATGTGGAATTAGCAACATATATCGAGTACGATACAAAAGTCTAACTGCTGCAGAAATATAGAGGTTTGAGAGCAAAGTGGGCAAGGTTAATCTAAACAAGGAATGCTGCTCCTGAAGCTTGCACCAATGGGATTATTATAATACCCACATATTCAATGGTAGATGCATGACCAATCCCGTGCAGCGCTGACTCATAAGCGCTGCACGATGCTCCTGAGGGACAGCTTCATCTGAATCGCCAAATATATAGGAAAGGCGAGCAAGGAGTCGAAGAGCTTGAGCGAGCTCACTGGCATGCCCCATAGACGGAAATCATCAAATCAACCTAAATATGCAAAATGCCATCAAAAACATCTTCAGAAGAAATTTCCAAATCAAGCAGAGAAACTTAAACGAAAAAATGTAGAGATAATCCTGTAGTCACACCCTTACGAAAAGAAGTCCTGAAATTACCTTAGACAGTGCTTCCTTTGTGATGTTGCAACTGGTGAGCGGATCAGTCTCTATCGCGATCTCAACAGAGGTGGGGGGGGGCTGGCCCTGGGAGGCCCAAGCCTCTTAGGTTTCCTGAAATCAGCCATTTGAAAAGAACTGCAAGCATCAAAGACGACATGAGCAGCAGAAATGAAGAGGAAACGAGAGCTTTGCACAAAAATTCCAATATTCCGCGAAGTGATTGAAGACGCCATTCTAGCGGCGTCGCCCGCAACTGTCCATAACGCACTTTCACAGACGCCGTCGGCAAAGGTGCCACCACCTCGACGTGGTAGGGGCACGTCGAGATGCCGGCAGCTCCCTCTCTCAAAAGAGCACGCTATTTCCCGTGCTCTCTGACCTGCCGGCAGCTGCCATCTCGCGGATTTCGGTGAGCTGCCGGCAGGTTGCCGGCAACTGACCTCGCGAAGTTGCCGGCAGCTCCTCCTGCGATTCCAGATATTTTAATCAAGGAGGAGTTCTGGAGCCGCAGACTTTTGTGAAGTTTTCTACAGAGGCGAGGCGGCATCTTTATCGAGAAAATTTTTTTGGAAAAAGGCCTAGGACGGCCCAAATTTGGGGTCTCTCTTTCTGGCCACCTCACGGAAAAGGTGCCAGCGAACTGCCAACCAGACCTGCCGCCAGGTCGGGGGGATTACTACCGGCCCTGCTTTTTGCTTGGAATGAATATCATTTGTTGTCTTCGGGAGTAGAATTTTTTGATTTATTTTGGGAATGCAGAGCACACCCTAACCTTATCGATCACAGCAGCAGTACATACCGCAACCCTGCCATTCTTCATCGATGTCAACAAACCACTCGACTCAATTGCATGGAGAGATAGACTGTAACGTAAAACAACAAACTTTATGTTATGGCAACACAAGAAAGCTGAAGACACAATTTTTTGACTTTGTGCTCTTTTCCAAAAAACAAACTTCTGATCACGAATACCAATACACCGAATACCTCCATTAAAGCCAAGATTTCCGCTTTAACATGATTGGGTGCAAAAAGAGAAAGCGCAGAAAATCCTACAATCCTCAGGTAACGTCTCATCATCATGGTCCCCTCAATAAGGCACATACGAGGAAATTCGGAATTTTTTCCCATATATATATTATACAAGGAAGAAGGTTTTTGGACTTTTATATGCGATATGACAGGCCGTATGAAGGCTTCCATGTTAAAATTAATTGAAAGCATTATCATAACGCTTCTCAAGAATAAAATCATAATCATTGCTTGTTCGTTTATGAGATGGCGAGCAGTGGCGGTTTCATTTTATTTGACTGCCATCTTGATCGCTATGGTTACCACACAAGTGATAAAGGTATCCCCCACTGTAGTGATGGGGTAGTGACGCGGATCTTGACTACTTAAGGTTTCTAAGAGGAAGGAGAAAAATTCGAAAAATCTTCACATATCTAATTTATAGAAGGAAAGGAGTTTTTGAACTTTCATATGCAACATAAAACTGGATTGAAACTGGACTGGATTTCACGTTGTCCACCTTTCAGTAAGTTTTCCCACCATCCTCCATTATGAACATATTGAACAGAAGCGAGAAGCTATACAAGCCGCATTTTCGAGCTTTTTGTATGATCCCCGGTTATTAACCGGGGACGACCGTCTACTCTTTGAAGTCTTTTTCTTTCTTTAAAGTTAATGGAAACATTCCAAAGTTGTATTGCTTATCTAATACAACAGTGCTAAGCATGTTGCTGATAAGAACAAATGACGTTTTGGAGTCATGAAATTTTCGATGAATAACAGGTCGAAAGCTGGGGTTTGTCAGAATTTCGATATTTCAGAAACTCACTTGTTTTCATCAGCAATATGCTTAGCACTGTCAAGGTAGACAAACAGTGCAACTTCGGAATGTTTTCATCAACTTTGAAGAAAGAAATGACTTTAAAGAATGAACAATCTTTCCCCGGGGATCACCAGGGGATCATACAAAAAGCTGAAAAATGCAGCTTGTGCAGTTCCTTGCCCCTTTTCAATATGTTCATAATGAAGGATAGTAAGGATACACACGGATAGGTAGATAATATGAAATTCAGATATCTGGAGCTTCAGGATATAAAGCTTTTTTTTGAGGCTGCGATCCCTTCCCCACCGGGGATGTTAATGTATGCGGCCCTTGGATATAAGCACGGAGCGAACCCCTGGTCGCTTTTCATTACTGTAGAATTACGGTAGGAACTTTTGCTTACAGCGTCATTGTGGGTTAGTCGTGTTTCAGAAGAAGTTTCCAAAGATTCTGAAAAGTGGTGCATGAAAGATTTTCTGCGCGCTGGTTCCATTACCCAACTTTTTGATAAAAAGGTTTTCAGATTGTGCAACCGCAGTCTCAGGAAGCATCGTAAAAACAGCTATTCAAATTACCTCGCATAAGTTATAAAGGAAGCATTGGGTAGAATGCATAGTTCATATTTGGTTTTTTAGGGACTTTAATTGACCTAATTAGCAGTTTCCAGTTTGTCTGGTTCGTTTTATAAGGCGAAATAGGGCCCTCAATAGTTCGAAATGCCTCTTGAAGTCCTTACCGTAATCTCACAGTAATCAAGAGCGATCGAGGACTCGCTCTATATGTAAATCTGAGCTGAACCTCGTTTCAAAGAATGGTGCCTGAAGTTCGCCGAAAGGCATCAAAGCAAGAGAGTTGTTAACGATCAAACAGTGCATACATACTTTACATACTTTTGGGACGCCCTGTATTAGGCTGGAAACCAAGTTTTGCAACTTCTTTCGTAACTCTTCTCTCTTTGCATGTAGTGTACTCAAAATCTGGCAGTGTATACAGTGTGATGCGTGCCACAACTGCGCACAAAATTTTTTACATCAAACACAAATGAAAAAATTCCAGGAGTGGTATTTATTTGGTCGAAACCATCATGTTAACTGTGTTTTCATGACACCAGCTAACTGGCAGCTTCACATCATTTTCCCAACGAAACCACGAATTAACCCATAGGAAACCTCGAAATGTTATCTTGCAAAGCAAAGTCAATGGAGGAGATCGTAACTCAAACCATTCTCATGCTTGTCGGCAATCATTGCACTTTACCAAATTTGCAGTTCGGTCTCCAGCCTCACCTTCCTATAACCTTATCTAAGCTGTAAACAAGTAAGCTTTCCTGTACCTGATAAGCAAACAATGGTGTTAACCTGCTAATTAATTCATAGTTTGGTTTAGAATGAAAAAAGCATGAAACAAATATGGTTTTCCGAAAGTAACTTGCATGTTTCATAATTTTGTATGACCGATTGAACTGAACGGCCGCAAGAAGATGATCATGCTTACCACGATGTAATCATGATCAAAACATCACATCATTCGTTGGTTTCGACCATATTACTACCACTCCAGACATTTCCCGAAGACTAGTGAATGCTAGGAATTCTTGGTTTAGAAGCCAAAGCCGTTAAGGTCTAGGCCATGTGCAATAATCCGTGTATGAATGTTGCAAGAGGTTGACTCATTGGCTCAGTGAGAAAGAAATAGAATTTAGAGCCATGTCAAGCTTTGTCGCCTTCACAAAGTTGAATGAGTCGTTGTATACAAGGGTGCTGAGTACGTCAAAGACTAACGAATCAGAACCTTAGAATTACCTACTGTAACCTTATAGAAAACTACAGGGCTCCTAAATTGCAGAGTCGTTTGCACCAGCGGTCGCGCGACCGCGTCGCGCCGGGGCATTTTGCCGGCGCCGGCGCCATCGATCGAGGCGGCGCCATTGATGCCCGGGCGCGACGCGGTCGCGCGACCGCTGGTGCAAATGACTCTGCAAATTAGGAGCCCTGTACTTATCATGCGACTTCAGCATTTGATCAGCATGTCAGAGACCCCTACGCCAAGTTTCACCAAATTTGTCAAATTTTATAATATTTCCCCTTATACCATATACCTAACCCTTGCTACGACGTCAGAATTCGTATAATAGCAACTGCGCTTGTAACTTACTTTATAACCTACGCAATGGCAAATTAAGTGCACCATGTTGAGAGAGAGTCAGGTAATAGTAATTTGCTCAACTACCTATTTACTGTTTGTTCATGTTGTATACTCTTCAAAGCAACGATTAAAATGCTGAGCACTATTACAAAAACGAAAAAATCACGTTTAATATCAAAATACAAATATACAGGGCTTATCAACTGCAATGTCGGGAGCACCGGCATCTCCTCTCCTGCTCGGTCGCTTCGCCTGGACTCTGTACCTTTTGCGCGAGCATGCTTCTGATCACTTTCCCATCGCGAGCGTGGGAAAGGAGGAGCCTTTGATTATATATGACCAAAGAGCATGTTCGCCGAAGAGGTGCAGAGTTTCGCGCGGGAGTGGAGATGCTGGTGCACCTGACACTGCATTTAGTAAGCCCTAGACACTTAAGGCCCTGGTGATCTCCAGGGGATTACCTCCTGTTTTCTAAGTCCTCTGTTTTTCCAGGAAGTCGACAAAAACTTGTAAAGTTGTACTGTGGATCAGCTATGGCACTGCTACGGGTTTGTAAGCATTATGAGTGATTTTTTTCAATAAATCTCAGCTCGCGAACAGCGGTTCATCAAAAACCTCGATATCCTGGGATTTCACTAATCTTTACTATAAACAGTAGCAGTGCCATAGTATATTCTCGGTACAACTTTATTGATCATTAAGTCTATGGCAAATTAAATGACTTTGAAAAGGTGAGGAGGCATCCTGGAAATCCCCACGGGATCACCTCACATTTTCAAGGTCGTTTGAAATTTTTAGTTTTCTATCGCATTTTGTCATGTTTCTTTTCAGCCGACGCCATCATTTTTGACATGTTGAACCTTGCAGACAAAGCTAAGGTGCAGAGGGACAGCTCCTCCGCTTTGCCTCCATGAAGCTCCGGAAAACAGGGTTTCTGGGATTTTTGAGTTGGTCTGAGCCTGCATATGGTTATATAAGGTCTGGAAGGCCTGTAATTCATTATATGCCCACATGTCTATGATGTGTATATGTCCAAAACTCTCGTAAGACACTGCCTTCGAATCTTCATAGCGCTGCAGACTTGTACGTGTTGTGAGGATCATTCCCTATTCTCTGTCATTCTGCAGC